TGATGAGAGAGAGGACGAGAAAGGGGAAAGGAAACGAAGCGCACCATACACGACCAACATATGTATGTGCATGGTTTGTAGCTTTATAAAATATATTTGATTTGACATTCATATGGGAATATGGTAACCAGCCAACAAACAAAAACTACCCGCCGAACGTGTCTTTGCCATTTTGCCAATGCAAAGCAGAAAAAAAACAGAAACACGAAACGAAATAGATCCAATTTTGTTTGGGAAACATGCATGAAATTTTCAAGCGGCAAAATGGAACGAGTGAACGAGCCAAGATTGAAGGCGCTCACCAGAGCAATGAACAAAAAAAGAAACACAGTACAAAATGTAATATATTGCGTATATGTGACCATATGTAGATAGAAACCAAACCGAATCGTCAAACAAAAAAACAACAACACACACTCACACAAGACTCGAAAGAACGAACCGAATGTCGAGAAAGACGAACGAAAAAAATATACAGTCGTTTTTGTATGTATGTGCTGCATAAAGTTATATATTATAAATAAAATCCGAAGAAGAGGCAGAGATTTACTTAATTTATATAAAATAGACTGAGAGAGCTTACAATATCCAGTAAAAGTGAATTTTCTAATATTGAGTTATTTTTCCTTTTAAACTTACACCCAACCTCTATAACGCCCATAAAGTAGCATTCACATGCAAACATACGTACACATACACGAACGCAACACGCACCAGCACTACTGCAACGTAGCTCGCACAGGCTTGTGATTCTGTGTGTCGAACGAGTGAAAAGGACAACCATATATCACACGAACCAAGTACTAGAGCCTTATCAAATGGGTAGCGATGTGTTGACGCTAGTTGGTTTTTTATTTTCCATATGGACCAAGCGAAACGGCAATAAAAACACCAAATACACTGTTCCGACGGGTTGGAAAGAGAGAGTAACAAGAACACATTCAAATGGGAGTGGTAAAAACGAACAAAACAACGGCGGTTTGCATTTATTTTCGTTTCGTTTCATTTCGTTTTGCATGTATGTGTGTATGTGCGCTTATTTTGTCAGTTCCAGAGCTCGAACGACAGAAGCGAAAAGAACAGAAAAACACATACACCATATTGTATATCTCGCTAGAGCGAACAAAAAAACAAAAACGAAGCAGAAAAAAACACCGAATGAGGCAAGAAAAAAAACGAGAAAGAGAACATACTCAAAATTAATATATATTTTGTGAATGCGTTGCGATAGTAATATAAAATACACTGAAATCCAGATCGAATTATCCAGTGTGTGGCGTACGCTTTCAGCTTCAGCGTTGCTGTAAAGTGAATTTATCCAACAGCTCTTTCTCTCAGTTGTTGTTCTCGTTCGTTCGATGGTTGCTGTTGTTGGTTTTTTTTTTGTTTTAGTTCTCTCTCTCTCTCTCTGTCCCTCTCTCTCTTCCTCTCTCTGTCGTTCGTTTCATTTTCCTTTATTTCGTCGTGTCAATTTTATTTTATGCACAAAAACAGCAATACACATTGAAATAAATATAAATCCAATTTTATTTTCTCCATATTTACTGTATGCACTGTCTTTCTCTCTCTCTCGCTCGCTCTCTGCTCTCGGTGAAAATGCTTTTTATTTGGATGCTTGTTTTTCGTCAGGCGTTCGTTGTTGTGTTGGCGATGTGATGCGATGCAGATGCCATGAGAATATTGAAAAAGACAGAAGAAAGAGGCAGAGAATGAATTTCGGTGGCGTTGACTGTCACGAGATACCATGCTTAATTAGAAATCTGTAATTGAATTGAAATATACAAAGCCACGAAAAATTGCGATCTCCCTGCTACTACTGTCTTGTCATCACTTTGCTGTTGGTTTATTTGTTTTTTTTTCTTCGGTCCCACTGCACCATTGGCACATTGATCCACGACTTTAGTTCTCTCCGTAATGCGGTCGCAGTTCATTTTGTTTTCGCAATTTTGCGTAACGCGTACTTTTTAAAAGCAATTCGCATGTTTTTTTCCTCCTCCTTCTTCTTCTTCATTCTTCGTCGTTGGTCGTTAATGTTGTTGTTCCTGCTGGTGTCTTAGTCGTCATGAAAGTACCAAATTGTTTGGCCGTGAGATAAAACACGAGGAAATAGATAAAGATTTGAATGAGTAAGGAAAAAAAAGACACAGCCGGGACAGTGTCGACAGAAAACAGCTTCAATTCGATGTTTTAACCTGATTAAATTGTGCGCGGCTCTTATCTTTTATGAATGTCACATTTTGTTATCATCCAGCAAACAAGATAGATTTTTATTTTTTACCTCTTCGTCAACGGTTATACATAGGGCATGGCTGGAGCGAACGACAGAGACAGAGCGAGTTGATGAGTCGGTGTGTGTGTGTACTATATAGCAGTGAATGAGAATCACAACAGATAAGCATCCCGATTTCCATTTACTATTCAGTGAAGATGATACCGAAAATAAAGTGGAACCACATAAACCAACAGCACAATGAATCTCATCCAGTGCTACTTCTCTTTCTATCACTCTCTCTGTCGTTCTTCATTCATTACGTCTATATGGCTTTCTCTCTCTCCCTTTTTCGCACTCTTGGTGTGTGCACGTAAAAATTGATTCACAAACATAATTTAAATAAATTTGTTTTTCTTATTTGAGCTCATCGCTCCGAACGCTTCACCGAAAAATTACGTGTGTACTTTTATTTTTCTCATTTGTTTTATGTTTACGGCCAATATCGTCTCCCAATGCTTTCTCTCTCGCTCGCTCGCTCTGTTTTCATTTTTTGCGCATTTTGCTATTTTTTCTTGGCTGGTTATGGCGGCTGCTGGTGCTACTGCTGTTCGTTACGTTTTCTCTTCGCTATTCTTTCTTGTTCGTTCGTTTCGTTTGTTGTTATCTTAAATTTATGTGTGCATCTTATTTTGAGATAAGCTCCGCAAAACTAATAGCAAAGAGCGCACATTGCTGAAGGTAATGCGATAAACCAATTGAATATTTGAAAAAAAGAAAGAGAAAGAACTAATGTGTTCTCTTCGTCGATGGAATAACAAAACAAAGTACTGGAGAAGAAAAAAAATGAGCCAGAAACGGGAATTTTCAAAGTAAACTTCTTCCTTCCGTCGACCGGCAAAATAATTGCAATTTTATCGGAGTGAAACGACTCAAGTTGCGCTGGATGATCGGAAGCTAGTTTAATTACAAAATCATGGAAATTTTAATTATTAATTTATGCATGCATCGCAAAAGTGCTCTTCCGATTACGTGAAAATTTATGCACATACGCGCAAAACCATTTACATATCGATCAAGTGGTAATTGCAGTTGGAAAAAGCACCCGCAGCAGGAGCAGCAGTAGCAACAGTGGTGGGAAAGCTTCATCTTGCTTTTGTCCTTGCCAATCCACTGCGGCCATTATCATTTGTTGTTTCTTTGCCCGTTCTGCTTTTTCCGCGTTTCAATATTCCAGCCAAAGTATTTGAAGCGTTCGGTCGGTCGGTTCTATCGTTTTCGAAGAAAAACTAGTCCATAAACCAAAATGAAATGCACACAACAAACAAATGGCGATAAGCAGCACTCCATTCCCTTGATTCTATAGGGGCTTGAGTGAGACGGAGAGCGAGAGCAGTTCCTTTGGCAGTGCTTTTCTTGCAATATGGTGAAACTGAAGAAGATTATTCGCTATCAACTTGTGTTAGTGCACTCAAACGGAATAAAATATATTTTCTTCCTCTCGCTATTTCGGTGTGATCATCGGAAATCGGATACTTCAGCACTACACATGCGCTTCAATCTACTCTTGTTATTAGTTTCCATTTAATTTCTCGCTCAGTGTGTTTCTTCATCGCATCTTTTCCACATTCTACTGTTGCTTTTGTTTCATTTCTCGTCGCCATTCAACGAACAAGCAAAATAAGAAAACGATTTGAGTATTTAATGTCGCATACAAATGAAGCTTTAGCTGGGAAGAGGAAAAAACAATAAATGGAAAGGCAACAGCAAATGAATGAAGAGGATGAAATCAAGCGGCATGGATGGATGAAAACGGGGAAAATATCATTTAGTTCAATGAAAAAATCCAAAAGAAAATACACTTCAAATTTGACTTTATTTTTTTGCAACACGAAAAAATCGTCTGTGCATCTAAAACACAGTGTTGTGTTCCAGTAATCAGAACTCAAGAGAGACGACCCGAAAACAAGGACGATAGATCGAAAAATTGCCAAGCGAAAAAGAAAATAGCAACGAGAGTTGAAATACAAATGAATTTTCGCTGTCAACGAAGACAACGACAAAAACAAACAACAACAAAATGATGCCAATGTTAGAAAAAGCTACTGCTACTGCTACATAATACACATCCATTTCGTTTGCCGTATCACTTTTATTAGACATTATTTTAATATTATTTAAAGATAGAGTGAGTTGAGCAGAAAGAGAGGGACCCATGCTCGGAATTACAGAAAAAAAACAGACACACACACACACACGCGGAATAGCGCGAGCAGAGAGAAAGAGATCAGCCAGCGTGGAAAAAGAGATTCGAACACGTCGAGAGCGAGAAACACTGATCCATATGCACAGAGCACAGCACACACACAACCACATTCAAACATCCTTGGTTTTGGCTGTGCTATCGAGTGGCAGCACGAAACTCGAATAAAATAAATAAATATATACGGTCGTACATAAATTTTCGGTTGAATATGCCAGGGAATATATAGATCCACGACGTATAATATCATTCTGTGTGTATTATTTCGGTGTGAATGAGTGCGAGAGATTGAGTTTTCCGCCTGTTGTTGTTGTTGTTATTGTTGCTGCTGCTGCTTGCCTTTTGTCCCATAGACTAGTTTGAGAATCATACACACACTCACAGAGCGATATACGAGCACCGACAAACTCAACGAGCCATAAACATACACACACCCATACATACGCGTATACTAGCATACATGTAACTCATCATCGGTAGAGATCGCGAACAGTTTACAGCATGCGAGAACAGCAGCCACATTTGATAGTGAAATTCAGTCGTTAGCTCTAGTCGTGAACGCAACACAACAGATTTTCGTCGTCACTCGCTTTTTTACCGATTTTTCCACAAACTGTGTATGGGCAGTGAACGTTACGTTCTCGCATTTATTTGAAAAGTTAAACAATTTTCGGTTGAAAATTCGTCGTATTTACCGCATAATTTGAATAAAAAATTGCAATAAAAATCTTTGGATTTCGAAAAGAAATTCCTTTAAGAAATATCCGAAAAAACATATTTTTTTCTAAATTCCGTGGCAAGAATTCAGTAAATATCCATATGATTACATCCAGGGACAGTTGAACTAAAAAAGAAAAAAGTTGGTGAAGCGAAGCAAAGAAAAATGGTGTGGTGAAAACTAAAAAATAAAAAAGAGTGTATGTGCCCTTTCCGCGCTATTTGTTTGCTGATAAGAAAATATCGTCGAAATTGAGTACGTTGAGAGAGTTGGGCTATAAAAGCGAGAGAAGACAGACATTATTTGTGTATGGTGAAAAATAGTCAGCATATGAGCCCATTCATTTTGTGTGAGAAAGCGAGCCTTTTAGCAAAAAAAAAACAAGTTATCGTTTGTAACGTGTCCTTTTTATGTGTCGCATCGAATGCATCCGGTTGGTCAAACAATTCCGTCGGTTCAACATACGAATTATTTGCATAAGTAAGCCATCGACAGTTCGAACTAAGCTGGACGAATAGCATCAGCTCCGGTGTGTCGTTTTGTGTTTGGTGTAGATTTTAACGCGAATGCGAAAAAAACCAGAGCCGAGAAAATACATTGACGCTTTAATTTTGAACATTATCTGAACACGTGAAAAAGAAAGCCGCATTTAGCACTTACTTCAGACTAAAAACGTTGTTAAAGGGAGAGAGAGAGAAAGAGAGAGAGAGAAACCATAGCAATAAATCGTGTGTTATGCCGCAGAACCGGACACTTCAGCATCCATAAACAAAAAGCAACAAACAAATCAAAGGCGCAAAGCAAACAGCATTTTTGGCCGAATTGTGTCCAGTTGGCCGAAGGCACACGAACAAAAACTACGCAATTCTGAACGAAAGGCGATTTGGCGACAATTGTTGGGCACACACCACTGCAACCAATAATTCAATTCGGTAAATATCCGTTTCCAGTTATCGTACATACGTTTAGAGTGTGTCTCTCTTTGTCTCTGGTCAACACCTCCCAAGCTAAAGACAACTATAAACCATTGGCATTCATTACAGTATTCGTTTGGCCATTTGTCGCAAACTCATTGCACTACAGCAGCAGCAGTAGCAACAGCACTCTTGTGAATGCGAGAAATAAAAAGCCGTCTAAAATCAACAAAACCCCATATCCACGAATAGCGTCGACGCTGTCTGTATTTATTCTTTTCGGTGCAGTTTTTTTTTTTCATTTCGCGATTGCCCCGATGTATGTTTACATATGTGCGCGTGTTTTTCATGATGTCATTCGCTCGTATTTTACAGAAAAATTTTCATCTGTTTTTCGGTTATTTGCGAGCGTTTTCAGTGATTTACGTATGTTGCTTACAACTTTGTTTTCCGGCCAATGCGCTTCATCACCAATTTACTGCATCAATTGCATTATAACACGCTCGCACGCTTCACTCACTCTTTCGCCCCTGTTCCACAGATACACAGCCGACCGTTTGGCCCGCCAAACTTCGAATGATCCACAAAAACACCATTTTGTGGCAAATAAATTTATCAATACAGCAAAAATTATCGTCGCATATTTTATGAGGCCCCACCGAAACGACTAATGTTTTCATGTATGCGGTGCGTTGGCGAATATCCGTGAACAAGAGCCACACATAGGCGATACTCTCTCGCTCGCTCTCTTTCTGCTTCTGCCTTTCGGAATTTGCATGGGTAAACACATTTTGCGAACAATTCGATTCGACATTTTAAAGTGGTTTAGGATTTGCAAAATCGTTGGCCAATGCAAATGAATCCGGTTTAGAGGTGAAATTGAAATACGCATTTTAATGGCAATTTCAATTTTTTTTTTTTCAAATCCTCCAATGAAATTTATTGGTGAATCTTGAGCACAATTTTTAGAAATGGCTACTATCAAAGTGTATGCCGGCGTACATATAAGCGATTGATTCATTTGATAGAGATTGAAATACTTGGCAACTGTCCAATTGTAACAGTGGTGGAACATTCAAAATGGTCATTCGATGCTCGAATTCTAATCAATTGGATTTTTTTCGGGGGATTAAAAAATAATAAAAATGCTTAAATTGTTTTTGAATTGAGAATTTATCGGTAAATTTGATTGGTTGCACAATAAAATAGATTTTGAAGAGGAAAAAGTTTTGGTTTAGCCGACGGCACCACTTGAATCAAGTCTTTTTCATCTTTTGATAAATTTTATTGAAGAATAGACGTTTTTTCGGTTGAAACAAGCCGCAAGACGCCGATTTTGTCATCCAACACATCCGGAAATGGAATTTTTTTCTTCAATCCACAGAGGAAATAAATAAATCAAACAATACAAATAATTGGTCAGACAGGCATTGGTTAGTGTTTGGCGTCGTTATGTCACCTTCAAATTATTTTTTTAAAAAAATTGATAAGAAAATCGAATCAAAAACATACATTCTTTTTCCTATTTCAATACATAGATAATCAAAGGAAAATGCTTCCGAATTTGGTTGTAGTAAACAACGGAAAACCACTTGAATTGTAATCGTGTTGCAGTCAATGTGATGTTCTCGCGCTACCTAAGCACATGTAACCAAAAAATCAAATGAATAAATAATGGTGAACAATTTCTAATGTAAACGAATGCCCCGAAAAAAAGAAAGAAAGAACACACGGTTTTATCTCTATCAAAACGAAACTAGAAAAACGACGTGGAAAATTGTTTGGTTTCTTAGACAAAGTCAAATAATCGTTTTACGTAACAACGGTAGCCGAATTGTGACAATTATAGGATAGAATCATTATATGTACAGAAGAGCAATGTGCGTTTATCAATGTTGTTTGAATTTAAAAAAAAGCATATTGCTTTCGAAGCTGTTTTTATCTTTGATTACGAGCATACACGTACACCACACTGCACTGCGTTTGATTATTGTTTGCTTTCATTTGATAAAACATTTAATTGGTGAGAAGATTTCGGATGTAGTTGTTGGTTTAACTGGCGCCAATTGACAAAAATTCGTGTCATAATTTCCACCTCGATCGAGTCATATGTTCAATGGAATGCGTGGTAATTGGGCCCAGAGCCGGGCGATAGATGAACAAATAAGAAATGCCACATTTGTAGAGACTTGGATTAAATATGATGTTCATAAGTAAATATATAAACAGTTGTTCATCGAATTCAAAGCTGCTTGCAAATCTCTCAAACAATTAAAATTGACTTTATTTCCACTCGAGTGGACGGCTTCAATTGCTGCAATGGATCCTATTTGAATTAGTTTTGTTCATTTCAACAAAATCTTCTAAGAAAGAACGGCATTTTTTCCCATTTCGAATGGATGTGGAAATGAACGCGGAATAAAAAAAAACAACTTATTAGATGATAAATTTTGTCAAATGAGAATTTATTCTCTCCAGTTGTTTCGTCAGCCGTGTACAGACATTTCACATGCACGCCACAGGCAAAATATCAAGATGATTTATTTGATGTTCTAATCCCCGCATTAAGGATCGCATGTACACAGACACATATGGAAAATCATTACGAACCAAAGTCACGAATGCGTACGCATAGCTAAATAAACAGCACAACTAATCCAAAAACCAACGCATGCATAAGTCCGATTCCTTTTTCGACACATTTTTACTCGATGACTTTTTTTTCGTTGGTCTCAATTTTTTTCTCTGGTTTTTTACTCTTCTCATAGTGAAGAGTATCAAAAACAGTTCTTAAAACAACAAAAGACTGCGTCTCTGTATTTTTAGCCGGATTCTTGTTAAGTGACAACTTCAGAATTATTTTATTATGTTTGTCTTGGCGTTTTTTTTCTGTGTCTGTAATCGAAAATGCAATCGGTTCAATTGATCCTAGCGACGGATGCTATTTTAAGGCTAGTAAAAAACATAAATCGTGGTGAAAAAAACGGAGTCAATTTTATTTCGGTTTAATTTCATAATTTCCTAGAAATTGATCTCAAAGTACTTGTTGATGGTTTTTTTTATTGTTTTCAATCCAAATGACATCTCATTCGGCCAAAGTACGTTGATTTGTTAGAAATATTTTTAGCTTGTTTCGATTGAAGAGGAACGCTTAAGAGTCGGTAAAATTCAAACGATTCAGTTATGACCAATTTTCGATACTTTTGTTCAATTAAATGGTAAAATAAGGATTAGCAATGGCCTTACTCGAGTTGCGATATCAGAAAATATTTCGACACAATATTGTTTCGTGTTTGATGGGTGCTATGGAATTAATCGATATTTAAGTCACGATAATTATCGAAAACCACCCGAAAAAAGTGTTTTATTCGTTGTAACGGCAAATCAATCAAAATAATTCAATGAATAGAGTCGATCATACGATGACGTGTCGTGGTTCGCATTGCGTCGCAGCCAAACCAATAAATTTTATCAACAATTGGAGAAGTTGCCACCGCTTTGTCATTTCCCGCTCAAAGGATTAACTCGCAAAAGAAAGAAAAAAACGTTGATCATTGCCGCACCGTTTTGAGCTCTTATTAAATAGCCATAATTTAGACTGTGTCAATGCAACCGTCGCCGTTCCTTTATTTAAACCGCAATTAAGTTTATATTATTTTTTTGATTTACAAACAGTAATAAGATGTTCGGCAAATAATAAAACACCTTTGCCATACAGACAGCTTGACTTTGTCAAGACAGAGCGAGTGAAAATAGAAAAATTGTTCTTCCACTTATCTAAATCACATTCGTTATCATTCCGAGTCATTTAACCTTATTTTTTCCCCACCGTGTAAAACACAATTCGACAACATTGTAACGGCAGAAAAAGTCAACTTTATCTCTAAACTGTTTTTTTTCTACAATTCGTTTTTTTCAGATTTTTTCAAACCAAGCGCAGCAAACTAGTGTCGCGAGATGGAGCGTGGATTACAAAGTATGACAGACGCGCATGGGCTGTGTCTGCAAGATTTCGTTACGGGCGGTACAAACAATGGAACGAATAACGATCATTTGCACAATCATCATAATTTGCATGATTCGGTTTCATCAGCGGTTAGCGTATCGTCGGCGATCACAGGTCTTATGTCATCCGGTAACAATAGTTTGAATCATTTGTCACATGACACGACGAACCACCATCATCATCATCACAGTTTGTCGAATACACCGACACTGCATGAACCATTGGAAAAATTGAAACGTAAGTCGTTTCGGAAAATATTATTTTGAATATATTGATAGTTTTTTGTTCTTGTTTGGAACATGATTTTCCCATGAAGATATCTTTTTTTCTTTAAAAAAATGTTGAATTTTCTTTCTCATTCCAATTTCTGGTCTTTTTATTCCTCGTCTCTTCTTTCCTTTTCATTTTCCTTCATTTCTGTTCCTCCCCCTTTTTCACGCTTACCTAATTTCCATCTCCGTGTTTCACAATTTTTCGCCTCAAATTTTCGTTTCACACATATTTTCATTCAGCAATTTGTTTCTCAATCGATCGAAACGTGAGTTTTTCGGCAAAATATTGTGGGTGGCAATTGAGCGCATGACTTCAATTGCAGGACATCCGAACCACAATTTATTGGTAGAAAATTTACGATTCCGCAGGAAACCGAATTCGAAACTCGTCAGAATTGAAAAGAAATTGGATTATAATGATTCGTTCACATCTGGAAATTGGACTCTCTTCTTCAACGAAATAACACACCGAAACCAATCGATGTCATTCGATACTCACAACAATTTTTGGTGTAATAACAAACATACGTTTCACTTCTGTTTATTTCTTCTTAATTTGGTGTTGCCACTTGTGGCACCACTGCTCGGAACTTGCTGTTATTTTTATAAGGATAAAACCAGACCAATAATCGTCTTACAAGTACTATCTTACGACCGAAAAATTATTCGTATTGTTTTGGAAATACAGAAACTAAATAGAGAGTACGTGTAATCTGAGCTAGTTCAAGTACTACTTTGGAACGCATGGTGAATCATTCGTTTGACTAAGTAATGGGCGCGTGCTCAGCCGAAGGTATCATTTGATAATCGCTTTAATTTGTAAACATCGTACACAACGATATAATCTCACACCCGACAGAAAATTGGGAGAAAATGAAATAAAAATTCAATTATGACTCTTTCACAATCGTATGAACAGCGTTCAGTGAACATATAACATTGCCTTTGATCATGATTTTATCCAGCCCATTGCCGGCCAGATTTTTATCGCATTGCACGCGTTTTTCCATTTTTGACACATATCAAATATGACGCATTTCGTTCGATTGAGCAATTTAACGTATTTGAATATGCCACTGCCGTCGCTGCTGCTGCTGCTGTGGGGTTCTCAGCGATAATGTCTTAATTTTTCATTGCTTTGTTCACATGTCATTTGAATGAATGTAATTTGATCTAATTGTTTTGATCAAACAATAAGCAAATAGTCGTCGTCGGTTGTCAGTCAACGTATTGAAAACAACATAGTCAAGAACATGAAAAATCATAATCAACTAAACACACTCACTCACTCACTCACTCATTCATCCATTCCATTCAGTTCATTGTTGAATGGAACGGTTACTCTGTCTATTCATTCGACACTTTGACGACACTTTTACACAATATCGCTGTGCGAATCATGACAAACCGTTCAAATTAGCAGCCCCTCTACATGCACGCACAGGCACAAGTGTTATTTTCTCTTGCATCGCAAGCAGAGCATCTCGTAGATCCATCGAAGGGTCGAAACGAAACTCTCGATTACACAACTACAACAACAGCAGCGGCAGCAGAAGCAAAAAAACACGCATTCAATAATGTTGTGTTTTTTTAGGGTGTTCAATTAGGCATGACCGCTCATATTCATCGCTACTGATGTTGCTCATTTTTTTCTCTTCTCTCGTCGCTTGCTTGCTCTCACTCGTATTCAATAAACATATCGTTCGCATTGCTGCGGTAAATGACGCTTCAATAAATCCCATTCATATAACGCAATCGCTTAATATATATCTCATTCATTGAGCGGAGTGAAACAAACAACACAAAAAAGTGTGAAATTACTTTGTGCGTGTTTAAATGATTTGTTTTGAAAATTTGTCATCATAAACACACAAGTGCACGAATAATGTTGGTTTTTCATTTGAATCCCGTTTTTGCGTTATTTGCGAATGGAAAATATTTAAATAATTTTATCACAAAAAATATGTCAACATTCAACAGAAACGACATGGAAACTGTAAGTTCATTTCAGTCTCACTCAGCAATTGGCCAAAAGAGGTCGAATACTGCTGTTTGGCTGTGTAATAAATTGCGACAGCAATGATTTTGGCAGCACAGAATTAAATGGACATCTTCAGCAAACTGTCGTCTCTATCTCTCGGTGCTAATGCGTGATGAATATGCATACGAAATTTCCGAGAATGAACGGGACTTTCTTGCTAAATGTTTCCCTTTCGCCGGAATTCAAGTGAAAAACAGCAAGTGCATGTACTCAATATTGTTGTTTGTACATTTAATCATAAATTACCTTCAAAATGGCTGAAGTTCATTGGTTTTGCAAACAACATCCAAATTCATATTACATTATCTTATTTCATGTTTCGGTCGTCTGTCGCATTTAACATGCGCGCATCACCGAAAATTCCGTGTGTTGATTTCATTTTCATGACATTTGTTTCTCTATTTTGTTGACACATTTTCTGTACATTCATTTGCATTTTGCATAAATTTGCCCGCTGCAACTCTCTCTCCCACTTTCTTTGTATACGGTACGATGTGTCAAAAGCAATAGGCGACAAAGTACATGGAAAACCTGATGTAAATTACGTTATGTAATGAATAAATGTTTCCTTTTTTCACGGTACAATTTACCGCTGTCGTGGCAGAAATGAGCTTCATTTGCGTCTCTATAGTAAAATATTATCGTTTGTTGGAAAACAGAGAGGAAGAGAAAAAGAGATGAGGTGCGCCCGCGCGAATCGCTCACATCTGTAATCATTTTCAATGGCGCGCAGCTACATATTTGCTGCACCACATAATTTTCCATCCGTCCGCCAGCGCATCTCATGCGCTTCGCATCTAATGTTTAATCGTGATATAATAGCCATAATAACAATACGCTCTCTTTCTCTCTCGCTTCGCGTAAGTAATTTGACAGTTCGAATATGCAAATGGTCTCATGATAAATGCTTCTGAATGCGTGTCACCACGGAAAATTTATCATCACCACCACCGCTCACTGCCACCACGGAAGCGCTTGGCAGCAACAATGGCACAAGTGTATGGCGTACAATAAAATATCGCTCATACATTTTTTAACCTCTACCCCGAACGCTCGTTGTACATTTTATCAGTCGCATTGGCTGTTGGGTACCAACCCATGCTCATTTTCCCGGTACAGCATAGAATATTCCAACATGTGTTTTCAGTAACCGCCCCAAATCGCGTTTTAAACTTTTTTTCTAAAATAACTTTCAATATCATTACAACGATTAAAACTCATTACCATCCCTAATGAATCGTTAAACTGTACATATTTGACTCCTTTGCTGAATGAAAATTCAAATGAGTGGGATTAAAATCAGTTCTGGAAAATATGTTCATAATTTTTGTTCGAAGCGAACAAAACACAACACAAAAATTTGGTAATCCTTTTCGAATTTAAAACGCGTGTGCAAAACGGAAGTTCCGCTTCGAACCAACATTTATCGATTGACTGACTGTTCTCACTAAATTTCAAAATAGTATCACAACTAATCTCTTTATCTGATTTTGTCTCGTTCATTTCGCTTAGATTTTTCAAGTGTCAAGTCGTTTAGTTTTTTCTTCTCCAGAATAGACAAATTTAAGCACACTTTAAATTGAACGAACAGTCGAGGAAAATGTGAGAATTGTGAAGCTTCGATGCACAATTAAGTGCTGTTAAATTTGTGGTACGTGTCTTCGTGGCTTTCGTGGGTATTTTCATAATTAATACGAAACGGATCGCCTGTCAAATGAAGTGTGTACATCTGTACATTTTGACGAAGCAACACAGGAAAATCCGCTTCAATGCATTCAAATAATTTTTTCGTCGTGTTTCTTTTCAGTCTTCTGTTCACTGTGTGTGTGTGTGTTTGCATCGCAAACATCATTTTGATTTTTATGGAGTGACTTTGATGGAAAATCTCATTTTGACAAATTTTCCCTTGAAACCAAAACGGAACAACGAATGAAGAAATGTGATAGCTTCGTGGGTACGATACACAATTCAATCACAGAAAAATCAAACGATATGTTGGTTCTGGTATTTAATTTAAGTGGTTCTTTCCTCAACGCAAATACAAGACGAAAACAAAAAAAAATCGTTTTAATTAACGCATTTGCTTGGACTTAACTTTTGTTTGCCTTCAATTATTTCAATGCATACAGACGAAAATTGAACAGTATTTTTTTGAAAATTGAAGCATGAATGAAGAAAATCGATTGAAATCACAGAAAATGTTACAATTTTTTCCATTGTTTCGTTTTTTTCGAGCTTCGATATTCAATCATTGGTTCATTGAAATCAAAAAATGTTTGTATAAGGCTGAGATATTACCGGAAAAATCACTGGTGACACACGTTTCCCCTGAAGTTATTGAGCAGATTTATGTTTAATCCTTTTTACATGATTTTCTTTTCCTTTCTTTTAGTTTAAAAGCCAGAAAAAGGTGATTTTTTTTTCGACTAATTAAGTTGCTTTCAATTCCAATGTCAACTCATTCATGATAATAGTGTTCCATTTCAATGAAAACGTATCGTGATGTTTGTAAGAAATCATCATTTTATCTCAAACGAGATAAGAATTTATAAATATCCCAAAATATTCAGTACTTGATATTGTAATGCGTATGAATCATTTGTCTCAAAAGAAGTGAAAAAAAAACAATCATGTTCCAAATGATTCAAAATCGTTTTCGTTCCGTAAAGAGAGCATCCATAACAAATGGCTCATCGAACTGAATGCATCGAAGAAGAATAAATTGCCATAAAATATGCACCAACCTGGGTCCCCGAGTTCGGAAAATGTGACACTAAATGTTTCTGCATATAAATCGCATCATTTTAAGTAAAAATGCAATCGAAGATGAATGGCAAATGAATGTTGAACACAAAAACAAACCATATGGACTGGATTGGGTGCATTCTGATTAGGGGCGAATAAAGATTGGTTGGTTTTTGCGG